GGGATCGGCACCCACGGACAGCGGAGCCCGAGCCGAGGTGGGACCGGGGGGCTCTTCCTGGGAATTCTCCCCCTCCTCAAACTGGGATCCCCCCATTCCCAAATCCGGGACATCCCAACCTTGGATCCCCCATCCCTGGGCTGGGATCCACAATTCCCAAACCTGGGACTCCCCCCTTCCCTGCTTTGGGATTTCCCCCCCACGCTGGGAATCCCAAACTGGGATCTGCTCCGTCCTCCAGGTTCGGATCCCTCCAATCCGGAACCCCCCTCCCCAATTCCCCAGTCCGGGATACCCCCATTCCCAAATCCAGGAACCTCCCAATTTTCCAAATCCAGGATTTCCCCAATTCCCAAACCTGGCTCGCCCTATTTCTAAATCCAGGAACCCTCAAGTCCTGAATCCAGGGCTTTTCCAATTCCCAAATCCGGGATTTCCCACATTCCCAAAATCAGGACCCCCAAATTCCCAAATCCGGGACCCCCCAGTTCCCAAATCCAGAACCCCCAATTCCCAAATGTGGGAACTCCCTAATTCCGAAACCTGGGATTTCCCAAATCCAGGAACCCCCCCAGTTTTCCAAATCCAGGATTTCCCCAATTCCCAAATCTGGCTCCCCCTATTCCCTCATCCAGGGCCCCCAGATTCCCAAATCTAGGTACCCCCAATTCCCCAAATCCAGGATTTCCCACTTCCCAAATCCAGGTTTCCCTCATTCCCCAAATCCAGGATTTCCCAGTTCCCAAATCCAAGAACCCCCAATTCCCAAATCCGGGATTTGCCCAATCCCCAAATCCAGGACATTCACAATTCCCGAATCTGGGATTTCCCCAATCCCCAAATTCAGGACATTCCCAATTCCCAAATCCAGGATTTCCCAATTCCCAAATCCAGGTTTTCCTCATTCACCAAATCTGGGATTTCCTCAATTCCCAAATCGAGGAGCGCCCAATTCCTGATTCCAGGAACCCCAAATTCCCAAATCCAGGATCCCCCAATCCCCAAATCTGGGATTCCCCCAATTCCCAAATCCATTCCCTCCATGTGCCCTCGTGCCCACAGGATTGGGATTGGGATCGGGGTCGGCTCCATGGACACGTTCCAGTCTCCAACCCCCTCCTCCCGCCGGGACAAAGCAGGTGAGGATGATCCCGGGAAATTCCCCCAAGGAATCGCAGGGAGCCCCGAGGGATGGGAATGGCCTTGGGGGGATCCCCGGGGTGAATTCCAGAGGCTGCTCCAAGCCCTGTCCAACCTTTCCTGGCACAATTCCAGAGATTCCCTGGAAAACTCTGCCAGTCCTTCCACCTGCTCCTGCTCCCGGTTTTATCCCTGAGCACATCCGGGTGGGAAATCCCTGGGATCAGTTTTCCATCCCAGTTTCCCATTCCAGTTTTCCATCCCTGTTCCCAATTTCCCATCCCTTTTCCCATCCCTGTTCCCCATTTCCCATTCTTTTTCCCATCCCAGTTTCCCATCCCAGCTCCTTGTGCTGCCTGAAATTCCTCTCTGGAATTGGGGGCTGGATCTGTGGGAGCTCCGTTTTTTAGGGAACAAACCCATCCAGGGAACGGAGCTGGAATTTGGGAAAACATTCCAGAAAAAAACCGAGGTGGGGGGTTGGAAGGAGCTTTCCTAAAACCCGGAGTCAGGAATGGGATCGGAGCATCCCGCGGGAATCATGGAATGCTTTGGGAAAACCGGGAATTCCAACCATCCACACCCCCAAAATCCACAGGGATTCAAATCCCACCGGGAATGGGGACTCCAGACCTGGAAAACCCTTTCCAGGCAGGAATCATTCCCAAACTCCACCTGAACTTTCCCTGGAAATTCCCCCCTCATTCCCACCCGTGATTCCCGAGGAGCAGATCCCGATCCCAGCTGGATTTTGCCGTGGGATCACCGGGAATTTTCCCTGCAGATGCCGGCGCCGTGTCCGTCACCATCCCGGCCTCTCCCTTCATGCAGAAGTTGGGATTTGGCACCGGAGTCAGCGTGTACCTGATGAAAAGGTTGGGAATGGGAATTGGGAATTGGGAATTGTTATCCTGGGAAATCCTGGAGTGGGCAGGAAAGGAGCCCCCGGGAAGGATTTTTATCCCAGATTTCCTCCCCGTGGATACGGAGCTGAAGGGATTTGGGATCTGCAGAGCCAGGAAGGAGAGAGGTGTTTTGGGATAACCCTGTCCTGGCTGGAATTCCGGGATTTTGGGGTCCATTCCTGGGAATTCTGGGATTTGGGGTCTATTATTTTGGGGTAACCCTGTCCTGGCTGGAATTCCAGGATTTTGGGCTCCACTATTTTGGGATAAACCTTTCCCAGCTGGATTCCAAGGATTTGGGCTCTGTTCTTTTGGGATAACCCTTTCCTAGCTGGAATCCAGGAATTTGGGCTCCATTCCTGGGAATCCAGGGATTTTGGGCTCCATTATTTTGGAATAAACCTTTCCTGGCTGGAATTCCATGGATTTAGGCTCCATTCCTGGGAATCCAGGGATTTTGGGCTCCATTATTTTGCCATAACCTTTTCCTAGCTGGAATCCAGGAATCTGGGCTCTGTTCTTTAGAATCCAGGGATTTGGGCTCCATTTGTTTGGGATAAATCCCAGGATTTTGGGGTCCATTCCTTCCCTCCACCACCCTCAGCTCCATCTGGAGATGTGGACGGATAAAAATTCCCTTTCCCTGAGAATTCCACCGAGGAATTTGGAACATTCCCATCCCAAGGCAGATTGGATCCTTTTCCCCATTTCCTCCAGAATTCCACTCTACCCTCCCCGGCTGGAGGGGGAATTCCATGGGAATTCCAGAGGTTTTTCCTGCCCAGGTCACCCCAGGGATTATCCCGCTCTCCGTGGGCCGTGAAGAAAATCAATTCCGGCTGTTCCCAGAGCCAGAGGAGCCTCTTCCAACGGAGACTCCGGGAAGAGGCCCAGAAACTCCGGAAACTGCAGCATCCCAACATCGTCGGTGGGAATTCACCGGGAATGGGGGCTTGGATCCCTGGGAATGGAGGGGTTGGATCCTTGGGAATGGAGGGATTGGATCCATGGGAATGGAGGGGTTGGATCCTTGGGAATGGAGGGCTTGGATCCTTGGGAATGCAGGGGTTGGATCCATGGGAATGGAGGGGTTGGATCTGTTGGGAATGGAGGGGTTGGATTCCCATTCCCAGAGATCCCATTCCCATCTCATCAATCCCATCCCATGGGTCCCATCCCATACCCACAGATGCCACTCCCACAGATCCCATTCCCATGGATCCCATTCCTCTTCCCATTGCTCCCATTCCCAGGGATCCCGTTCCCACTCCCATGGATCCCATTCCCACATTTCCCTTTCCCATT